ACAAGCCTCAAGCCTCGTCAAAATTGATGAAACAGGTACACTTGGAATCTTATTTAATTTTTAGGCAGCATAATTGAGCCTGGCTCGACTGTCCTTGGTGCTAACAAAGCTGGTTGGACTCTCCATTCTGCTCTTCATGCCGCCCGGTCAGATGTCAATTGTATAATCCATATTCACCTGCCTGACGTGATTGCTGTAGGTCCCTTACATATTTGTCTTCTCTTTTTTTTTGTTTGACTCATTTAGTACTGTTATTTTCTTTCAGGTTTCTTGTATTCGTGCTGGTTTGCTTCCCTCTAGTCCCGAAGCAACAGAATTACTTAACGAATACGGAGTGCGCTATCATAATTATTATGGAATTTTAGTTGATGAAAGTGAACGCGAAAGCATTAAGAAAGATTTAGGATCATCGGCTAAAGTTCTCTTTCTTCGCAACCATGGTGTGGCCATTGCTGCTGCTAGTATACCGGAGGCTTGGTATTTGGTCAAACGAGTGGTGGCTGCGTGCCAGACTCAGGTATTTTTTAATTCTAGCAAATTGTCTTTTTTGAAGTTTATATTGGCATTAGGGTCGGAAAATATTATCTTTGTTTCTTACCTCTGCTTTCTGTTCACATTTTAACTTCGCTCCCACCTAGAAAACACAGCTCTATTAGTTAATTTCCTTTAGTTAACATCAAAAGTTTCACTTTCAACTTAGTGGACTTAAAGCGGCTTCATCCAAATATTCGTGTTTACTTATCATTTCTGTTCTATGATTTGCTTATAGCTATCCTTGCATTAGCGCAATTTAGTACAAAGATCAAGGGGAGGTAATGTTTCCTTGCTCCCTAGAGTTATACTCCAGTAAAGCTAAGGTTATGCTTATTGACATTATAGCTATAAAAAATTTTAAACACTGATCGACTCACTTTATTATCCATCTTTGCCATCCTATAAGTGGGAATACTATAAAGGAATATCAAATCGGTGTTTTACATTTAATTTGTTTGTTATTATAATACCGTTTTAATTGAACTCCCTTTTTACCACATTTTGTTACTTGACTCCCTTGTTCATTCAAATTATTATTTTCGGCTTTTCGCAACTTTTCAGATGCGTCTTCTTCAATTAGGTAGCGGTGCTACTCTTATGCATGAACTGCAATCCAGTTGGAATTCTCGTCATAATGACCCCAGTCGACCTTTTGGTGATCTTGTGAATAACCATCATGCTGGCGACTGTGCCAACAATCTGGACACTCTTGGGACTTCTGCTAGTTATAAACAAAATGACGAAACTGAAAATGTCGGTGAGTCTTATTTACTTGTTCTTATCTCTATATTATCTGGTTTATTTAACTTAATTGAACGCTAATCGCAATCCTTGTAGAACCTGTATGGAGTCCTGGAGAACTTGAATTTGAAGCTCAAATGCGATTGCTCGATAGCGCTGGCTACCGAACTGGTCATATATACAGACAACCGAATCTGTTGCGAAGGGCACCCACTGGGATGGCCTGGCCACCCTCTGCTCAGGGTCTTCCGGCCGACCTGTCCCCAGGCGTTTTAGCTGACTTTGTTCAACAGCCTGGCTCAATGTCGACTCCAATGCCAACTATGCTGTCAGATATAGAAGTTGCAAATGCTGCTGGTGTTCAACAAAAGGCCAAGTGGGCACTATTTTCATGTGCTTATCGTTTACATCTCTTTTCAGCCGGGATTTGAGTACTAGGATGTGAAACTTGAAACCGTTTTTATATATACGGGCTTGATTTTGGTTTCGTATATGAGTATAGTTTTAAGACTATTAGTAAACCATTCTTATGAGATGTATTCATTCTATCTAGTTTAGGGTGATGAAGGACTGGTAGTAGAATTTTCCCACAATGGCTGACGTTTCGATTAAATTTAATATGGCCTTGCTTTCCAGAAATTGAGAACAACTTTTGGAAAAGCAAGTCTGTAAAATTTAATTGAAACTTCATCCTTACTTATATCATTGGGAAAAATTCTACCACCATTCCTTTATCACCTTA